GTGAGGGAGACGAAACAGGGAGGGAAGAAGACATTCACGGAAAACCTGGCACAGAAAGCCGAGGCAATGCACATGGAGGTCAAGACCATTGCTGCGTTGGTTCCCGTAGCGATACGGGTTATTGACGCCACCGTCGACAGGGGAGAGCTGGAGGAGGCACTGATGAGGGCTGGAGTCCCAGAGGCGGACCTGGGAGATAGGGTCACCCTCGGGGAGCCTCAGGCGGGGCGCACCGGGACAAGGACGGCCATTGTCAGACTCTCGCCGACCTACGCTTTCAAGCTGATGGAACTCGAGGTTCTGCGGGTGGGCTGGTCCGGATGTAGATGCCGGATCACTCGGTTCGAACAGCCGCAATGCTGTCTCAACTGTCAAAAGTTTGGGCACCTGGCCCAGAACTGCACGGCAGAGAAGGCGGAAGGAAGAAAATGCTACCGATGTGGAGCCGAAGGCCACATAGCCAAGGAGTGAAGCGCCTCCCCGAAATGCTATGTGTGTGGAGCTGAGGGACACCGAGCCGACTCCCGGGGGTGTCCGGAGCAGAAAGAGCCGGAGTCGAAACACGCGGTGGAGCCGCCCGAACAGGCCGAAGGGGCTCTGAAGAGAAGGCCACGAAAGCGGAGTGGGAACAAGGACAAGGAGGTGGCAGAGTTAAAGGAGGAGGCGACGGAAGTGGCGGCTGTGTTAAAAGAAGTACCGCCCGCCGGCCAGCACGCAAAGGAAGAAGGAAAGGAGGCAGCAACTGGGGAAGAAGAAGTACCGGATGCTGCCCAAGAAACGGAGGGAACGGGGATAGGGGGCGAAGTACCGACTAAGCGAAACACTCAAAGGGACGCAGAGAAACCAGGGCAGAAACACCCAATAAATGATGATGATGATCAAGGCTCTGCAATGCACAGAGGCGCGCACAGGATTTTTTTTTTTCGGGGGGGGCAGAATTATTTTTCGAAGAACAAACTTTGGATGCCCCTCAGTATTCCGGTGAAATTCGGAGAACGAAAACCACGTCATAGTATCATATGATGCTTTCCATTCGAGTTTACTTTACAGATCCTGACTACATATATTCGTACAATATAACTGTATTGTATGATCGGGATTATGAGTAATGTTGAGGGCTTACAAGACCAGTTCAATTTTCCTGGGGTCCAAGGCAATGACATCGAGCACTTCCTCCGCGGTGAAAAGAACGCTGAATGTTCATCGAAGCGAGCCCGTTCAATCGATCTCCTCCCATCTTAGATCGTAGATACGTCTTCACAAGCCTTAAGGCGCTGAATGTACGCTCCGCGGAGGAGGTCGTGACCGGGAAAGTTGCGAATATTTGCAACATAAGGGCGATCTTGGGATAATCACTCGGAGAGCACTTGTTCAAGGTTTCGATGGCGGTTCCCGGAAGTTCGTTCTGAGGGACGGCGACCCACTCGGCTTGCCAACGCTCGAATTCTCCTCTCACGATGCTCGGACTGCATTCCAAGTCGTCGTCATAGAATCCAATTGTATCGATTAAGTCTTCGAAGGAGCTCTTAACTGTGAATTTCGGTACAAAACATTGCACCTTAAGCGCGCTCTGCCTAAGATCGGCGAAGAGCGATTGCAATTCTTCGATGAGACTATCAAGGTATTGAAGATACGACGAAACGCGGAAGTAATCTTCTTCAGTCTCGGCGGGATGATTCTCTCTGGCTATTTGTCGCGAACAAATGCGAGGCGATCTGACATCTACCTCAGGACTGAGACAGATTTCTTTTGCTTTCATCGAAGAGAGCGCTGAATACCGTGTCAGCGTTCTCGCGTCTCTGTTTCAATACAGACTGAACGCTATCAAGCATCGCTAAGGCAGCAAAGATGTCGAGCTCCTTAGCTTGGAGGTTGATGGAGAGAGGCAAGAAGAGCGAGGAAAAGCTCTCAATGATGAACAAAGAAACGAGGAAATCGCATCTGCAAATCGAGTTTACCAGCCGATATGCGCGCACTCCAGTATCACCTCGTTCTTGACTCAGTTCTCGGAGACTGTGAACGATGGGGATCAGGAGTTCTCTGAATGTTATGAAAGCATGGTGGCTTTCAACCCATCTGGTGGCGCATAGAGTTTTAAGGCGACGGCTCCTGGACGTGGGTGCCTCAGTTTCCACCTTGTCTTCCAAGAGTCTTATACGCGCGGAGGAGCTCGTGAAGAAATTAC